TGAATCAGGAGAGAAATCTGCACAGATCAAGCAGTGTTTAAACAGCTCTAAACTAATATGTGGCTGGATTTTGATGTGAGAGACAACAGGAGATGCACTTTTTCACTGGAGGAAGCGTTATTATGCATTATGACTTGTATTTTAGTTAAAATCGTCTTAATGCTGGATGTGTTTCAGCTTTTGTCTTCTCCAGATGTTAACTGATGGACTGGAGTGCTGTGGATTACTTGTGGATTATTGTGATGTTTTTATCAGCTGTTTGGACTCTCATTCTGACGGCACCCATTCACTGCAGCGCATCCATTGCTGAGACACTGATGGAGGTTCATAAATGAGGTTTAGTCCTGTCCAGCCAGGAGTCGCTTCAGACCACAGAGAAGGTCCTTGACCAGAAAATACACACTTTTTTACTTGATGATCATGTTTAAAACAACCAATAACAATTTGATTGGTTCCACTCATAATGGCCTGACTTGCAGCTGAGTTTTCCCACTTGAGTTTATTTAATCATGTGATAAGCATGCAGTTTCTGCATGGCCTTAATATAGCTACTCCTCTCAGGCCTTGACCTTCATAGAACCATAAGCACACGCAGGACGTAAAACAGCTTGCAGAGTTGTAAAAATAACGGTTTATAAATATATTCACACCTGCATTCAAAATGACAAGTGAAAATGTTTGTTTCTGCAGCAAACATGTACATTTTCAACCTCCACATTATCACTGTTTATTGAATAAATGTCTGAATTTGTTTGCTGAATCAGTTGCTGATGCAAAGTAAAAGATTCTAGTCTATAATTACCAAGATATTGATTTTCTTTTCAGACATTTGCGAATCAAATAGTTTTGTTGCAACTTATGCACAACAAGTATATGCATTTCTGTTTTGTTCTTTCACGTCTTTATTTGAGGTGATATAATAATGTTTTGCAGTATATGATGTTTGAGCTCTAACACTCTGCATGCATCTTTAATAACACAGTGCTGTTAACATATGTATATGTGACGTCTGGTTACAGAGACAACAGCAGGTCAACATCCCGACAGTCTTGAGTGAAAGTGGAAGGAACTTTCTCAACACTGTCAGTATTTTTCCTCTGTCTGTCTGGGAAACTTGAGTTTCTAGAACATTCTGATTGTCCTTCACTAACCCGGTACATTTCCACTGTCTCAAAGTGCTTGAAAAGTTTCCTTGGACTCTTTGCCGAGTCACAACATTTTTCTTATCTGTTTTGAAATGTGTTTACATGCTTGATCCTTCACACGATTCCTGTCTAGGCCTGGATGACCAGATATCATGTGATAAAGGCATTAGAAACAATGCACTGAAATTGTGCCATTCTGATGCGAGGATTACAAATGCTGTTTAGAAATTAATTAATTTATTTGCAATGCATTTATTTATTTGCAAATTATGCCCCTTTTAATGTGAGGGAATGCTGCTGAGAAATGAATGTTTTCCCCAGCTTTGCTTAGATTATTATGTCCTCTCATAATTAATATCTGATCATATTTTTACTATGCATTAAATAAATAAAATATATAAATGCATAAAATAAATATAAAAATAATAAATACGATTAAATGTTTAATATCAGAAGAATAGCCTACATTAAAATTCCGCATCACTTCTGATGCAAGGATTACAAATGCTGCTGAGAAATGAATGTCTATTCTAAATAAATGATGTTGCTTTCTTCATTATTTATAATTAAATATAAAAGATATTAAACATTAACAAAAATATATTGAATAAAAATATTAATTTATTTTTTGCATGTGAAGGGGTTAAACTTACACAAAGCGTTCTAAACAAGAAACTGCATTTCTTGTTGCATCTGTACACCATTAAATCAAATGCATTTAAATGAATCGTTTCATATCTGCATCTTACAGTCCAGATTGTTCCCTGATATCAATTCACTGCACGCACGGATTCGTTCAGCTTTTGTCTTCCAGATTCCAGAAGCATCCATCCTCACATTCTGGTTGCACGAGTGCAAAAATCGAGAAGGCGTCGGTAACACCGCCTCCGCCGGATAAAAGCGAGAGCGGCGCGCGACGCACCGGCAGACGGAACCGGAGACGCGGAAGGTGCTCTACCTGTAACTAGCGTTAGAGATAACTATCTCTTTTAATTCAAAGTCTTAAGCCTGAAACCTTTATCCATTTTCCTTCAGCTCGGAGAATATAATTTAAGGTATGTATGGTGCTAAAAAGAGTTTTATTATATTTTGTTGTAGCCTACCTATATAGGCTATTATTTAATAATATCTTAAATGCAATATAGGCTGTATTTCATTAATGCATATTGCACAAATGTGACCCTGGAGCACAAAACCAGTCATAAGGGACAATTTTATGAAATTGAGGTTTATGCATCATCTCAAAGCTGAATAAATAATCTTTCCATTGATGTATGGTTTGTTAGGATATTACAATATTTGGCTGAGATACAACTATTTGAAAATCTGGAATCTGAGGGTGCAAAAAAATCTAAATATTGAGAAAATCACCTTTAAAGTTGTCCAAATGAAGTTCTTAGCAATGCATATTACTAATCAAAAATTAAGTTTTGATATA